AGGGTGAGCCAGCGCAGGCTGGGCTGGTCCTTACTCGGCACAGCGCGCTGTTCCTGCTTGTTTCTCCAGGGACGGCGGCATTTTCAGAGCAGCCTCTTATCCAAAGCTGCTTCCTTTTCCCTTCCAATGTCTGAGAACGTTTGCAACCTGACCCACATTAGAAACATGGGCCCCAGGTGTGTGCCTCACCACATCCCAGTCTGCAAAGAAGCACCACTCTTTTTTTTTTTTTTTTTAAATATATAGTGTTCTACATGCATGCACGCCTCCACACCAGAAGAGGGCACCAGATCTCAGTATAGATGGTTGGGAGCCACCATGCGGTTGCTGGGAATTGAATCAGGACCTCTGGAAGAGCAGCCAGTGCTCTTAACCTCTGAGCCATCTCTCCAGCCCTGCACCGCTCTTTTTATGACATAATCTGTTACTTAACTGAGAGCTGGTCCAAACCTGGGGTGAGAAGAGCTACCAGGCTACCCCAGTGCTGGGCAGGGACCTTTGTAGGCAACACATGCCCGGCCCCAGAGGAACTCCTGCTCCACGCCCACACCTTATCATTGCAGTCTGAGACAAAGTCTCATGTTCGCGTGCTCCAGCTCACACACAACTCGCGATCCTCCGGCCTCCGTCTCCCAAGGGCTGGATTTACAGGCGTGTGCTACCTCGTCCTACTTCCCCCTTGCCCTCTTCTGATCCCTACAGTAGCCCAGTGTTGAAGTCCGCCTTCCTCTGGTCCCAATCCGTTTCTCCAGGCTTCTCCCATGGTACCGAAGGCTCAGAATTGCTGCTCCTCATTAAAGTGTATTGTTGCATACCTGCTCGTTATCAACTTATTATTTTGCAGAGGTTAGACTGTTGGTGGCCCTCATATATGTATGTACGGCTTTACTTTGGAACAAGTCTCACAAAGCCCAGGCTGGCCTCAAAATTCTGGTTTTCCAGACTCTACCACTCAGGTGCTTGGATTACAGGTATCTGCCACCACACCCAGCTTGATATTTATGAATGCTAAAGGCAAAGCTTGCAAATGGAAACAAATGTTGAATTACTATGTACACCAAGACTTACTACTGAAAAAGTCAGAGAGAGGACTGTTCTGTTTTTTTGAGACAAGATCTCTCCGTACTTTCCTGTCTAGCCTGAACCCAACATGTACCCCAAACTGTCCTCTTTGCCTTCCACGTGCTGGGGTTGAAGGTGTGTGTATCACTCTCAGCTGAGGAGTGAATGTTTTTAAGTTATTTTATGTGTATAGGTGTTTTGCTTGGACATATACGTGTGTGCCACATGTATGTCTGGTAACCACAGAGGCCAGCAGAGGGTGTCACAGCCCCTGGAGCTATAGCCAGAGGCAGTTGTGAGCTGCCTGATGCTGTTAGGAAATGAACTGCAGAGGGAAGTGCTTTAGTGCTGGGCTAGCTCTCCAACACTGCCACCCTCTACTCCAGTATTGTTGATTTTCTTCCTGAGACAGAGCCTCACTATGTAGCCCAGGCTAGCCTTGAACTTCCACCTGCTTCTGCCTCCCAAGTATTGGGATTAAAGCTGTGTTCAGACATGCCCAGCTCAGCTGCCCTGGAACTCGCTTGGTAGACCAGCCTTGAACACAGGAATCCACCTGTCTTTGCCTCTGAAAGGTAGAAATTAAAAGAAGTGCATTTTTTGAGCTAGGCATGTGGTGAACACTTGTAATCCCAGCACTCTGAGAGGCAGATCTCTGTCAGTTCAAGGCCAGCCTGGTCCAAAAAGCGAGTCCAGGACAGCCAAGTATACACAGAGAAACCCTGTCTCTAAAAAGCAAAAAACAACAAAGAAAAAGAAGTGCACTCTTAAAACTGTAAATTTACACTCTCCATCTGGTCTTAAGCTTCTCTCTCTCTCTTTTAAAGAGACAGGGTTTCTCTGTGTACCCTTGGCTGTCCTGGACTTGTTTTGTAGACCAAGCTGGCCTTGAACTCACAGCAATCCATCTGCTTCTGTTTCCCGATTGCTGGGATTAAATGTGTGTACCACTATGCCAGGCTTAAGCTTCCTTTTCAGGTGAGAGTCATGGCAGTGAACATCTCCCCCATTCACTCTTCAGAATACTCCTCCATTTATTTCTCAGTGAGGTGTTCTGGGTCACTCTGCTCTTTCCGTCCTTCATAGCACGTCTGTACCTCTTCTGCAGTGTGAGCACACGGGCACGTCTGTGTTTGGCATCCATCGTATGACGCCTTCTGCTTTGTCCCCTCACTGTTCTCTCCTGGGTACCTCACACAGAGCTGACAGGACATTTGGTCTCTGATGATGGGTGAGAAGCCAGTGTTCCCACTCAGGCCTACTGCTCATCTCTACTACCGTGGCCCCTGAAAACAGAAGTAGGAACTCAGTAGGTGGGCCCTTCAAAGTTGAATGGATAAAAATGCTGAGTTTCTGACATAACATACACCTGGTTTTCATCTATGTCTTTCCAAAGCCTGAAGCAGCAATCCAAGCCAAGAGCAAGTGGCAGTTTTTCAGCAAGGTGCTAAACCAATTCAACAGAGCAGAGAGGACACTTCACTAGGTGCTACTGGGACACCTGTAGGTTCATGTACAAAGAGATGAAGATGGGCCCTGTCCTTAGATACAAAATTTCACTCAGCATGGTCTGGAGAGAAGAGCTAAGGCAGAAAGACAAGAGACACAGGAGTCAATGTTTGTGAACCTAGACTATTCAGCTGTTTAGGTATACCCACAAAAGCTAAGTGACAAAAACAAACAAATGGGCTTCATCAAGACACGGGCTTGACTGTGTACTCAGTCAAGCCAGTACTCAGGAGGCTAAGGCAAAGGGATCAAAAGTTCATGGCTATCCCCTGCTCCACAGACCTCAAGGTCCGCCCAGGCTCCAGGAGAAGCTGTCTTAAAGGGGGTGGAAAGACGGCTTAGCAGTGAAGAGCCCTTGCTGCTCTTACAGAGGACTGGCGCTTGGGTCTGAGCACCACGTCAGGTGGCTCACGACCACCTCTAACTCCAGCTCCAGAGGACTGATGCCCTCTGTTGGCCTCCGTAGGTACCTGTAACATAGCCCAACTCGGACACACATGAATACACATACATCGCTAATAACAAAAACACCTTAAAAAAGAAAAAAAGGCAGCAGGATGAGAGAACTAATTCTAAGTCATGTATTTTTCTGATAAGAAACATATACTCCAAGTACCAAAAGTCATTAAGAAGCTAAATAATTCACTTGGAAAGAGGGCAAAGCATGTGAATACTTTCCTAAATAAGAGACTCGGATGGTTATGAGCCACAGAAGATGCCGGGCATCATCACCTTCGAAGGCGTGCTGTCATAAGCACAATGAGGCAGCACTCCATGGGCACAGGGCTGGCAACAGTGAAAATGGCAGATTCCCGTGAATGGCTAAACAGTGTGTCACAGCCATAAAGTATAATACTGCTTACTCATAAAAAGGAAGTGTGGATGCATGCTGTGATCTGGATGAACCTTTGAACATGATGCTGAGTAACAGAAGTGAGTCACAGAAGACTACACATCTTCTGTGACTATCTAGTCACAAGCAGTCATCATCAATCTACAAACAAAACAGATTCTGCTTGCCTAGGGCTGGAGGCAGGGCACAATCTGGAAAACCAGGGCTTTCTCCCAGGCTTTCTTCTGGGAGAATAAGAATGTTCTTTCTTGTTTTTGTTTTTAGACAGGGTTTCTCTGTACAGCTGTCTGTCCTGGAACTCACTCTGTAGACCAGGCGGGCCTCAAACTCAGAGATCCACCTGCCTCTGATTCCCAAGTGCTGGGGTCAGAGGCATGCACCACCGCTACCTGGCAGAGAATGTTCCAGAATTCTGTGTTGGATACAAACCTTACGATTACACCAAAAATAACTCTGTGCAATTTAAATGAATGAATTAGTATATACAGTATGTCACAGTTAGCTTTTAGTCACTGACACAAACCTAGAGAAACTTTGAAGAGGAGCCTCAACTGAGCAGTGCCTTCATGAGGTTGACCTGTGGGCACGCCGGTGAGGATTTTCTTGATTCCTGATTGCTGTGGGAGGACACGGCCCACCTGGGTCTGGGCTGTGTAAGAAAGCTGACTGACCATGAGCCCTGAAGCAAGCCTGAAAGCAGCATTCCTGGCTGGTCTTTTTGTTAAGCTCCCGCCTTGTCCTCCCTCCCTGATGCAGAGTAACCAGTAAACTAAATGAGCCCTCCCATCTCAAAGTTGTTTTTGCTCTTGGTGTTTATCGCAACAACAAAAAGAAACATTTTGTTAAAGTGGAAAAAAGAAACTGTTTAATGTGTTGTTGAAAACCTCACGATATTTGTAAGTAACAACCTAACACTTTCTCAAAGCATAAAGGATGGTAACAAAGATTTCTGTCCCCCAAAGCACTCTAAGTGCCCTGTGTCCTGGGAGGCTGTGGAGGGCCCAGGTACTCTTGGCAAGTCCTGCCCTGGGCTTCTTGCTATGGAGCACTATACAATTCTATACATCTATGGGTTTTCCTTCCCTCAGCAAATCATGCTTGGAGCTTGGAGCAGCAGCACCGGGCTACTCTGACTTTCCTGCTGGGAGCCTCACTCCTCACTGCTAAGGTACTTCAGGTAGGCAGACCACGGCAGCCGAACCCCAAGCAAACCCTCAACGTGAGAGGTTGTTCTCTCTCTGTCTTCTGGGCGAGCTCTTTAGCTCCAGGGCCGGGACTGACTCTCTCATTCCTCCCCTCAGCCCAGGAGCAGCAGCTAGGGAGCTGAAGAAGCTCCTTGGAGTATGCACCCTGCTCCTGCATTCTGAGATGCACAGTGGCACCGACTTCATGCAAGGTGGGGCTTGACTGGCTGGCAGCTCTGGGACAGGCCCCGCCCCGGCTTTTCAGAGGCATGTGGTCATACAGAGCAGCTGGGGAAGAAAGGCTAAGACTCCTCTTAGGTGAAAACTGCTGCCTATTATGGAGATAAGAACAAGCATGAACAGATATATCCTGAAATAAATGAACAACTAGATTAGAAAAATAGCAAACTTAAGCCAGCTTTATTTTCAAAGTGCTTGAGATTATTAAAAAGATATAAACAAAGGAAAAAGACAACGGCAGTACAGAGTCAGCACGCACCCAGGTGTGGGAATGCTTAAGTGGCCGCGGGGATGCGCACAGCCAGCAGACAAAGGCCAACATCTGCTAGCTTGAGAGGGTCAGGGCCCAGATGACAGTCCAGATGCCTACTCACTGCTTACAGGTTCCTCATAAAGCTGTTTACCTGCAGGAAAGAAGACCTAACGTTACACCGCACAGGTTCAGCACCCCCATCACTGTGTGTCTCAGGTCCCATGGGCATTTGTGAGGCGAGGAAATGTCCCTCCTTCACTTTAGAACACCTCATAGGAGGAAGTCAGCTGGCCAGCACATTCGAAGAGGCTGACACTTCTGATCCGCACTTAGAGCTGGGATTTTATTTGTATCTTGCCTGTGATCCCAGGGCTTCAGAGTGTGAAATGCAATTTGAAGTACAAAGCAAAAGGCCTGATACAGGGACCAGGAAGATGAAGCATAGCACTGGAAAGCACTTGGAAAAGCCAAGGTTCTGCCCACCTGTCCCATGAGCTCTTCTTGTTTGGCTGCATTTTCAGAGAAATCTTCAGTGACGTCCAGCACCAGCACCGGCACATGCTGCAGAACTTCAGAGTGGAGCCTGGAGCAGCAAGAGAAACGCTAGGGGAATGTCATCTAATCCGCCGCACTAACTATCCACAGTCTGATAACTACACCTGTAGATAGTAACTTAAAAACAAACAAAACCCACAAAACCGAAATCTCAATAAAAGTGCCTGCAAAGTGGAAAGCTGAGACTTCCCTCTAGTCTTGAAACTTTTACTGAAGTCAGCACTCAAAACTTCTAAAGTGAGCATACTGAGCCTGACAGAGGACAGGAACAAACTAAAAATGTCAATTAAAATGGACATGTTTTCTAAAACACTTTCAGGCCTCCATCCTGAGCCAGTTATGACAAACATTCATCACAAGCTATAATCCAGGGGAAAAAAAGGAAGGAAGGAGCCTGGCGCGGTAGTGCATGCCTGCAATCCCAGCCCTCTGGGAAGCAGAGGCAGGCAAGCAGATCTCTGTGAGTTCAAGGCCAGCCTGGTCTACAAAGTGAGTTCAGGACAGCCAAGGCCACACAGAGAAACCCTGTCTTGAGAAAACAAAAAGAAAAGGAAGGCAGGAAAGGAGGGAGAGACTGTAGCACACGCCCCTGGAATGCATGGACTCCATTCCATGTGCCACTTCCTAGCTGACGGGCGCCAGGCGCGTCACCTGCTTCCCGGCAGCGCCAGGCTGTGAGCTACGGCTGGGCTCAGCGTGGAGGAGGCGGCCTCAGGCTGTCACATACTTACTTGGTGGTCTTGTTAATGAACCAGTCTTCGTGCTGAGCATGCAGCTGTCTGAGATAAGCCAGCTCAATGCCCTTCTCTTCTTCTCTGGCCCTTTGGCACAGTCTTTCCCAACAAACCTAAAAGACAATCCCCCTGCTGTTACACTGCAGTCTTACAGGGCCAAGCAACCCACAGAATGCCTCTAAGTCCTCTTTGGACTCGTTCCCTTACTCAGAGCACTGGTCCCATTTTGTCCACCTCTGGCTCAGACTGCTCTTTCCTGGAGTAGACTAAGCTGCTTAACGGCCAACACCATCCACCGAGCCAGGCACACTGGGATCTGCCTCTCTGTCTCCTGGAGGTGAAGAAGTGCATGGAGAAAGTACGGGCTTAGAGTCAGTCAGCTGCCACACGGAGTGCAGCAGTCTCAGCGGGCTGCCCCTTTTCTGCCCTCTACCCACCCGCAGGTGCGGTGAGGCTGCTCTCAAGCAAGGCACATTAGCTAAGACTCTGGCAAGAGCCATTCTCCCCTTCCAGTCTGTCTCTCACTCCAGCCTTCTGTGGTACTTGCGCCCTGCTTTGCTCTATTGGCTCTTTGCCAGCCACAAGCATAGCCACAGACTGAAGGAGCTGTGAACTTGCTCCAGCTGCCCAGGTGCTGGGGTTAGGCATGAACACTGCGCTTGGCCTGTGCGGACCATTCTCCTTATAAAGCGGTAAGCAATTTGAAACCTCTTTTATACTAGACCCAGCACTCACTGTGGAACAGACTACGACATCTGCATAAGTCAGGGATGACACAAAATAAGATGAAACTTGAGCCGACACAGCTCTCCTTCCCTTCCCTTTGCTTCCACCTGCAGGTCTGAGGTTCTCTGCCTGAGAACTGTGTCTCTTTCTTCATCTAGCACATAAGGCCACCACCAGGGTGGTACTTGTCTTCAACTTCCTTAGCTCCTCCCTTGCTCAGTGCTTCAGCCACATTTGGCCTCCTTCCTGTGGGACAGGCCAAACTCCTTCACACCTCAAAACCTCTGTTCCAAATGTTTGTTTGCCCTTGTTCCTCTTTCTGCCTGGCCAAACATTTCATTATTCAATGTCAACTGTCCTGAAAGTACGGGTAGATTAACCCACTGACCTTTCCCTTAAGGAAACTATGCTAACAAATTTTCTTTAGCACCTTCCCTGGGCCCCCGAGCCTGGTTTTATTTCATTTTTTGCGGTAGTTCTAGGTCTGGTCCAGACTTACCTGGGCCTCCATAGTCCACCTTTTCCAGCATGCTCAGCTAGTGAACTCTGGGCACTAACAACTACTGCGATTACCTCAGCAGCTGCGTAGGCACACACATCTACTCCACCCTCTGGGAACGCAGAGCCGAGACTCCACAGCATACTCTGTACTTAGCTTTCATTCTCTCACTTCACAGCATGCCTTAGCATGGTTCACGCTACAAAGCTAGCACTGGGTGGCTGAAACATGAATACTGCTAGTTCCAGGACAGCTAGGCTACAGAGCGAGACCCTGTCACAAAAAGGCAGCAAGGACAAAAACCACCCAATACAGAAGGATGTTTCTCATTCTGTTTCAGAGCACAGTACATTCAACCAGCCCCCTCTCACGAGCACTCCGTCATCCCCAATGCTTGCTAGTATGAACAGCACCTGGAACAGGGCAGTCTCTCTGCGCCAGCCTATCTGTGGACGCAACTCTAAGCACCAGGGTCAACGGGGCAAGAGGCATGACCTCCTCCCCCTCCTACATGCTGCCCACTGCCTCCTCAGGCTCACCACGCTACATTCCAACCGCAAGCAGCTTCAGCTACCTTACTTAATTTTTTCCTAGGAGAGAAAATTATTTTCTGAATTGAAATAAATGAATATTTGAAAAAAAATACAGTAAAACCATATTTTCAAATACACACAAGGAGAGAACAATTCTTGCAAAAGCTACGTATAATTATTCATACACTGACTTCGGACAACCAGATGCCAGCCTGGATCTTTTAAAATCAGTTAGCATTTCCCTTTTTATTATTAATTTGCTAAACTGAGCAAACTTTTCTTCCCTCTAAAGTCTAGGCAAAGTCCTGTTTTAAATATTTGGTCTATTTCTTACTCTACGGTCATGGTTATACTAAATTATTTTAAAAGGATCCCATGGAACAGTTTTATCCTTGTCCCACTTGATTTCAGTTCCCAGGGAACACACACTAGAATATGAAGGGGAAAGATTGTACAGGTAGAAGTGGCCAGGAAGGGACCCCATGGCCACGCTTCCCCTGGCCTGTTAGGCTGTGACTGTCGAAGGCTCTGCTCTAGCCTCAAGCTCAGGGGGCATTTGTTCTTCTGCAGCCCCCAAGCACCGTGCCCACTTCACTGTCCCAGAGAGGGATAGGTATCCTGAGGCACACAGCCACACTCTCTCTTCTTGATTCCAAAGGATAGAGGGGACACATGACTAGTCATTTTTCTTTCAATTATTATTGTGTTTGCCAGCTTCCTTGAATTTAGGGGAGGACAGGTAGACAGATCCTGAAGCTCCCTTCACAGACTCTAAAGCCGATATTTGCCGGAATCTGTGTTGTGCACTAAAATCTCAAACTAATCCTAAATAAATTATCCTTTTTTTTATTCTGATGTTAAGTTGTAGCAATTCTTCGAGTCTCATTATATGAGAAGAAATACTAGTCAGTTAGTCTCTCCAAAGGGACAAACCAGTCCCTGGTGACAATCACTATTACTACGACTACTCTGCCACTTTGTAACAGCCTCTCAAAGGGCGTTAAAAAGGAAGATAAGGGAGGCTTGCTCAGAGACCTGGCTCCCAGGGTCTGGGTCTAACCTGTACCCCTCAGAGTCAAGAGGCCAGGCGGCCCTGCCTCACTCCCTGGAAGGAATCCACTCCCTGGCTCCTCTGCTCCTCCTAGCAATGTTGCCCTGGCCCTAGATGAGCATACTGTGGTTCTGTCTCTTTCGGAATAGGTTAGGTCAGCACCCTTCCTTCACCCAGGCTCAGCCTTCAGGACTCCATTTCTCAGCAGCCACCTTATGACTCCCATGCGAGATCTACTGCCTCCTCTAAGTCCGCCTACATCTGCACTCTGACCTGCTCCACAGCACCTCATAGCTGGAGAGCACCCCCCCGAACCCCACCTCAGCTACGTCCTGACATCCTCTGTGGGAGCAGGCTCCTCTCTTCCCCTCAGAAACTATTTCTACCTGTAAAGCCGCCACCAGCACAATGTGCCTCTTCTATTCCTCCTCAGCAACAAAGGCCACTGAAAGCAGTCAGCATGCCTCAGCCAGCAACATCACTTCATAGAAGGTGTGTCTCTGCCCTTATGCCGTTCAAGTATCCAATTCAATTTTATTTGAACCTGAAACTTCATCTAGAATCTCTTACTTTCCACTATGATCTAACTTTTACATAATCCAGGTATTCCCTGTACCAAGACGTCCTGATGGGGCTCGAAAGACAGCTCAGCAGGCAATGGCATTTGCCAATCAGGACGTGTGACTTGAGTTCCATCCCTGACACTCACGCAAAGGTGGAAGGAGAGAAATGAAGCCAAGTTGTCCTCTGACTACCACATAGGCACTGTGGCATGTGTGTACTTGCACACGAGCGCATGCGAATGCACACACGCGCACTCGCGCACACACACACACAGAGAGGAAGAGGAGGAGGAAATGTCTTATTAGAGAAAAGAAACGAAGCCAGGTGTGGTGAGGCACATCTTTAATCCTAGCATCTGGGAGGCAGAGACAGGTGGATCTCTGTGAATCTGAGACAAGTCTAGTCTACATACTGAGTTCTAGAACAGCCATAGCTATATTGAGACGATGTCTCAAAAAAACTTTAAAAAAGGAAAAAAAAATCCAGACCACACAAACCCAGCCTCTCTCCTGGCTGCCCTCCCTTCTAGTCCTCTTCTCGGAGGCCTGCAATGTGACAGGACAGGAGCTCCCTGTCCTCCAACTCTGCTCAGTGTGCCCCAGGCCCCCTTCTGTCCACAAGCCCAGCCCAGCCTGCAGACAGCTGGCTTGCTCTCGGCAACAATGGGCATTCGTGGCATTGACCACACCGGTGGAGTATCAAAAGCTGACAGCAGTATCTCTCAAAAACTGCTTTGCCTTGACTTGGAATCCTGCCCCACAAGTCTTTCAAGAGATCCACTTTACAAAAATCCCTTCAGTGGAAGCTTTCCAGGGTCCAGCCAAGGTCACCACCAGTCAGCAGGAGCCACGGGTCAATGCTGTCTCCAGAGGTCTCCTGTCATGACATTATCCCATGGGCCAAGCTGGCTCCAAAGTTCAGGTTACAGAATGAGAACAGAGTGCACTTCTGCAGTCTACCTGCCTGGGGGCCTTCTTACGGACTGAAGTGTAGGCTATAATTTCGGATGAGAGGAGGAAACATTCCTTCCTTCCCCATATTCCAGTCAGAAGCCTCAGATGACACACACAGGAAGCCATCATTAAGACAGGTGGCGCAGGCCTGAGCGTCTGACTGCAAACTGGAGCCGTAACGACAATGCATAGTTTGTTCTAGTTTGTTTCTTGGAACTAAGCTTGCGCCACCACCTGGCTTTCGTTGTTTCACGAGTTCTAGCATCTCGGGTTTTAGGTTCAGTTACCTGGGGAGAAGCCCGGAGATAGATGAAGCCGTGTAAGAGAAGTCGGTCTGCAAACTCCTGCAGGAGAAAGGAATGCCAGTCTTGATAGATGTGCCACTCTATGTCACCGAGGGAGCCATTTTCAAAAAGATTCTTTGCAAAGATATACCTGGTTGGAAATGTTGAGTGGGAGGTTGGGGTTGAGGGAGAATGGGAAGTGAGAGGGAGAAAAGTAGAAAAATCAGTAACTGGCTTGTTTTGTGTTTACCTAAACCACTTAATTATTGTAGCTCCTTAGAGGCCTTAAAAATAATATGATTAAAAAATTTTTTTTCAGGTTAACAGCACTGACCATTCTTTTGGGTTCACCTCCCACCCCCACATGGCAACTCACAACTGTCTGTAACTCCTGTTCCAGAGCATCTGATACCCTCACACAAACATAATGCAGACAAAACACCAATGTATATAAAATACAAATAAATAAATAAAAATTCCCCTGACCCCTTAACCCCTCCTGTAGTCCAGGGGTGAGCCCTGCACCTTGCCTGGGCAGCACAGTGGAGCTGGCCCTGATGGCAAAGGCATTCGTGAGCCGGCCCAGTCAGCCCCTTATGGGCTGCAGACTTGGGAGAGTGGAACCCCACACTTGAATTAGCACAGAGGAGCAGCTAGGGGTGTGGGTGAGGGCATGAGAGGGGGAGAGTCGGCCCTGCCTCCTGCCAACGGCAGCACTGGGTGGCCTAGGGGTAGGGCTAGAGGGCCAGCAGGCTGACCAGCTCAGCTAGCACGTAGATGCAGACCCAGGGCTTTGAGTTGGCCCACCCCCAAATCTACATCATCTGTGAACTGCTGGAGCAAGTGAAAAGATGACACGATCAGTGGGACGAGTCCCAGTGAAGATCTAACACTGATGATGTCACAGAAGCCAGAGACCTGATCCAGACCAAAGACTCACTGAAATAAACATTTCCAAGTGAAGACATGTAGACAGAGGGGTGTCCTGTGGGACACACTGTGACACACTACAACACGATGGGATGTTTTCTATGCTTTTATTTTTGTTTGTGTGTTTTTAAATTTTTTGGGGGGGGGGTTGCAAGGGAAAAGGGCGAAAACAAGGGGATGGGAAGATAAGGTTAGGGTACATGATAGCCAATAAAAAGTTTGAAATTTTTTTTTATTATTTATGTGTGTTTATGTCCCTGTGTGGGTTTGTGTACACGCACGTGGTACTTGTGGAGGCCAGAAGAGGAGGGCACTGGACTCTTGCGGCCATTCGATGTGATGGTGGGACTGCAACTGGGCTCCTCTAGAAGAGGAGCACATGCCCTTAACTGCTGCACTACCCTTCCAGCCCTAGAAACTGGAACCCTCAGTGTGCAGCTCCCACCTGCTCAAATGGACCTGGCGGAGGGCCAAGCTCCAGTGCACACATGGAGCAACCCACTGTGAGGAGGGGCTCTAGAGGGGAACTAGCCGAGACATGCAGCGCGAGCCTTTGAGACTTCCTCATCCCCATAGCAAGGCTCCAAAGAAAACCTAAGTGAATGCAGGGAGAGCCTCCCATGCACACTGCATTCCAGAGGGAGGGCTGCTGAGTCTCCAGCTGCTGAGCCATCCTGCCTTAGAGCTGAGAAGCAGGGGAGCCTTCTTGTGGTGTCAACTCTGGAGCTGACTTTGGTAGGACCAAAAGCGCAGCACATAGGAGTCTAGCTTCCACTGCTGAGCTTCCAATCAGATGAAAGAAAGCTAATGTTGAAAATCAAACTAACTTCCCTCTTTGCTTACTTCCACAACCAAAGGAGGATCTGGTAAATTGAGAAATCGGAGCTGGAGAAACCATGGCTTCAAAAGGGTCAATTCTGCTTTTAAAGCTTGATACAAAACACAATTTACATCTGCAACATCTCCAGTTTCTAAGGCAACTGACCACTTCTGAGAAAATGAAATTCAAAATCCTTGTGTGAATGGCTCAGGGAGGTGCAAACTGCAAAGCTGTGAATGTCACTCTTAAGAGGGTGGCTTTCAAAGTGACTCTGCAGAGTCTGACCCCAGTTGCAGCTTCCACAAGCCATGTTCCCTTGGGAAGCTACCTGACTCTCCACCCATGGCAGAGATAGCTGTATATCACACTTGCAAAGTGTTCAGCGGATGACTGCCACTCAGCAGCCAACAGTTCTAAGCCATTGTAATTGCTTTTCCTAGGACACGAAGAAGCTAATTTGCAAGCTCCAAAGTGAACCTGCCCAGACTATAATGTTTTAGCTACAGCTCACTGAAGGCGATTTTTGTAACCCAAGTTTTGAAAAGTGTTGCCAGCTTCTCCATAGACAATTAGTTGCATCTTGCAAATAAAAATGACCAAGCTTATAAAAGGGGACTTGGCCTCTCCTGAAGTGGCACTTCCCATTTCTCCATAGCTGGTGGTGATGAGCAGAGGAGGGGAAGGGTACTAAACATAACGGGGGTGGGGAGCTACAGGTAGAACAAGGCCAAAAGACCCAGCAATCCAGAGCTCTGCTGTGCAGCCACACTGGGGTTTTTGTTCATTAGCCAGGAAACTTCTTTCTTCTTAGCTGCGGTCACTGTCCTCTGGGCACATCACACACTTGTGGGCATGTATGCAGTTCTTGGTGAAGTAGCATTCTCATGGGAACAGGAACTAAGGTTGTCTTCTCTGGTGTTGCCCTAGGACTAAGCCTGGTGCCTGAGTAAAGAAGACAGTCAATAAACCTACACTGATCAAACAAATAAATGAGATTTCCCTCCTTTGGCACTGAGGCTTGAACTCATGCCCTGGGCATAAACCGGACCACTGAGTCATACCCAGTTCCTGGAATACATCTGTAAAGGAATGGAAGTCTAAACACTCTTGAGATTGGAATTTATAACAGGTTATCCTTCATGCCTGGGAAATGGCTTGGGGGTTAAGAGCACTGACTGCGCTTCCAGAGGACCTGGAATTTGTTCCCAGCTAACAATGATAACTTCGGTTCAAGAGGGTCCACCACCTTCTTCTGGTCTGCACAGGCACTGCACATATGTGGTACACGGACATACATGCAGGCAAACACCCAAGGACACAAAATAAATGCAAAATCTTCAAATATTTATTTTAAAAAGGAATATACATTCTTGGTGTCGTTAAAGTACTTGCCCTGCAAGCACAACAGCTCGGATGTGACCCCCAAACCCCCATGCCGGGGAGGCGGAGACAGGTGGACCCCGGGGGCCCACTAGTCAGAAAGCTTAGCTTTCTTGAACAGGCACACATGAATTGGAGGCTCTGTCTCAAAGTAAAGAAAAAGGAAGGAAGAAAGAAAAGAACGGCACCTAAAGGGAACAACACCACTGAGGCTGCCTGGCCTCCGTGCACATATGGACAGGCCCTGGCGCAGACAACTGCACCTGCATGAGCACACACAGAGAGCTATGTCCAGGGGCGACACAAGGGAACCCACTGCCGCGTGAGCACGCTGTCTGTGGCTGCCTCACCTGTCACTGTACACAGACCTCTCGAAGACCCGCACAGAGCCCTCTGCCGGCAGGGCACTCCCCGGGATGGGCTCCAGCTGCAGCTTCAGACGGCTCATAAAGGAAAGTGTCTGAAATGTGTAGGACCATCGTGCTGGCTCCTGGTACATCATTTCTAGCAAATTTCCCAGACTTCTGGAAGTGCTGTCCTACGGGAGAGCAGAAGAGAATCTCCTAGAAGGTGCAGTATTTCACAGTACACTCCCTGCCTTCTGCCCTTCAGGAAGGTGCAGTACTCACCTTTCACTCACGGTGAAAACTAGCCGTGCACGTCTCCTTCACTGAAAACATGAAGATAGATAGGGTTCTCCAGCTCAGTTTAAACCATGTAAGCAGGAAGAAGACTGTGCAGCCTTGTATGATAAGAATCTGACAAAGAGCTGACACACGACAGTCATAGAACAGGAGAGAGCAAAGCAACACACACACACACACACACAGAATACTGGACTTGAGAGTCTGTTTGCAATGAGTTAACTAGTAGTCACCTACAATTCTCCCTTGAATCAAATCCTACTTTAATACCATGTTGACTTTCAAATTCCATTTCTGGGTATTTCTCAAACTTCAAGGCAGATAAGAAAGAAAACAATTCCATATTTGAGAATTTAAATAACCAATGAATTAAAAAGCTTCTGTGTTTCATAAAAGGGTCATACTCTGTTCAAATGAAACCCAGTTCCTTGTTTATTCTAGGAATCATAAAATGCAATTTGAAGTTTCACCAATTCTGAATGTATGGTGGGCACAAATAGTGGACACTCAGGAGCCCAGGTTTACTTTCTCCCTCCCTCCCTCCCTCCCTCCTTGTCCTAACTACTGACTGAAAGCCTGTGTGGATGAGGCACTATATGGAGCGTAAACAGGGAATGGGGCTCCAGCTGGGCTTTCTCTACCCTCCTCTTCCTAACCCTCTCCTATAAAGATGAACAAGACACAGTAACTGAGGCTGGAGAAGATGGCTCGGGGGTTCAGAGCGCTGGCTGCTCTTCCAGAGGAATTTATAACTCCCAGCAACCACTTGGTGGCTCACAACCATCTGTAATGAGATCTGGTGCCCTCTTCCAGTATGCAGGCCTACATGCAGGCAGAATACTGTATACATAATAAATAAATCTTAAAATCTTAAAAAAAAGATGCAGTGACTGTATTCAAGGAGCTCACAATGAGGATGATTAAGATACAAAGAGCTAGAATACAAGGACAAGCGTGTGACAAATGTTCAGTCATTTATGCTATAAAGAACTGAAAAAGTTTCCGGCAAAGAGTATCATTAACTTTGGAAGTAAATGACAAGTAGAATCTTCACAGAAAATACAAACATTGCTCAAATGTGCCAAGTGGCTATAAAATATAAGGGCTGGGGAGGTGGCTCAGAGGGTAAATGACTGTCACACAAGTGTAAAGAGCTCAGTTTTAATCTCCAGGATCCACATAAATCTGGGCACAGTAGCAGGCCTGTCATCTCAGTGCTCCTAAAGCAAGATGGGAGGCAGAGACAGGAGAATCCTCGGAAACTCCTGGGCCAGCTAGCCTGGTGTCCATTGCCATGGTGGACAGAGACTGTCTCCAACAAGAAGGAGGTGAAGACCTATACCCAAAGTTGTCCCCTGATCTTGTTGTTTTTGACAGCCTGTTCTTATTTTGTCAATGAGGCAATCTCTTGACTCTTGTTCAAATATTTATGTTTTTGTTGTTTTCCTATTTTGAGCAATAACTCTCTCAGCACAAATATTGACTTCTGTTCCTATTCAGCTACAGAATATACACATATATCCTTTTATTATATATAAAAATAGTTTCACATATTTCATAGAATATACAAATATATATATTAGAATTGTGTATATGTATGGCTGTTTATATGAGTACACTTGCACCCCCCCCACATATACATACTTTAAAATAATAAAAACACAACTTTAAAATAAAGGAAGAAAGGAGAAAAGAAAAAAGAAGAAAAGGCATGGTTTCACTGTATCAAGAAAAAAAGCCCACTAAATACAAGACTTTTCCCTTTTAATTCCAATAAATTAATGAAGACAACACTAAGGTTTAAAATGGGGAATAAAGCAGAATTGAAATCTACAAAGCAAAACCAATTAAAAATGCAAGGGCAATTATAAGGAAAGACAGCATAGAAAAAGATCAGAAATGTTACTATTCATCTCTCACAGTTAACAGAGAGAGTAGATCCCAAAAATGAGAATTCCGAGGGAACAATTTTTCCCATGCATCTTTTTTATTTATTTTTACGTGCACTGGTGTTTTGCCTGCATGTATGTCTTTGTGAGAGCGACAGATACTCTGGAACTGGACATGCAGACAGCTGCGAGTTGCCATGTGGGTGCTGGGAATTGAACTTGGGTCCTCTGGAAGAGCAGCCCATGCTCTTAACCCCTAAGCTATCTCTACAGCCCCATTTTTCCTCCACGTATCTGAACCTGGGCTACATTCTCAATAATTACTAAACTAAACCTAATGCATTTCCATTTTCCTTCGAAGTCTTAACAATTCTTTTCTGCAAACAACAGCATCTTAGCACTGAAGAATCACTTCAAACTTTACATACATAATACTCTTCTTAAAAGTTGATAAAGCCAGGCATGGTGGTACACACCTTCAATTCCTACACATGGAAGGCTGGGGCAGAAGGACCTATGTGAGTCTGAAACCAGCCAGGATTACATACCAAATTCTAGACCAGCCTGGTCTATATACGAGACCCTGTCTTTACAAAGAAAAGAAGCAACAGCCACAACCATTTCATGGGTAAAAAGGGTGCGAAGAAGATTTATGAAGATGAGTGAGCATTTGCTGTTGATAAAGTGAGCACCTCGCACTGTTACCAGGAGGAGGCCCCTTTCACAGCCTCTAGGCAAGGAGTGACAGAGGACAGGACACTGACATTACTGGGAGTTTCCCCAAAGGCAGAAAAGAATAGTGACCACCCTCCTGCAGTTAATATTTTTTGGCAATCTCTACCCAAAGCAAGCAGGAAGACAGAAATGAATCAATCAGGAATACTGGAAAACTCTTCTAAATGATTTCATTTAGAGGTGACTGCTATCGTCTAAAAAAGCCTGAGCGAAGGGTTCCACATAAGAATTAAGTCATACTAGTCAAATACAATCAGCTGCTTTCCACCAAAACAGCAACAGGGGTGTGAAGAGATAATGAGGACAAACATCACAGTACAGATCTACTCAGGAATAAGATAGGAAGAGCCCGCTGGGACCAGACAACCATTTGCTTACAAGATAAAACGGGGGCTGGAGAGATGGCTCCGCAGTCAGTAGACCTGGGTTTTTATTTCTAGCATCCACATGGCAGACCAGAACCATCAGTAACTTCAGTTCTAGAGGATCTAATGCCCTCTTCTGGCCTCTGTGGGCATAAGGCATGAACGTGGTGCACAAACATACATACAGACAAAACGCTCAAACACATACAAAAAATTTAAAGGGTTGAGATGGATCAGTGGGTAAAATCACTTGCTGAGCAAACATGAGAACTTGAGTAAAAAGTTGGGCATGGCTGCACGTGAGCTAGTCGTCCCAGCACTGCAGGGGCGGCAACAAGAGGGCCCCTGGCCGGCCGGCTCCAGGCGCACCAAGAGGTTCTGGCTCAAGAGAATAAGGCGGAAAGTCAAAGAGCTAAAGCTAGTGCTACAACTTTTAATCCATATACAACAGGATTAAGATTTTTCTAAAATCTTGAGCTATTGGAGGCGTAAAAAACAAAACACATGGTCTCCTAGATGGCTCAGTGGGTAAAAGAATCTGCTGCCAAGCCTGCCAGCTGGGTTTAACCCCAAGGAGCTCTAGCTGGAAGGAGAGAACTGACTCCTGACCAGTGTCTTCTGACCTCGTAATCCTTAAACTTGAACCTACATTAAACTATCTTTACCTATTCCCACCCAAAAAAGAAAGAAAGAAAGAAAGAAAGAAAGAAAGAAAGAAAGAAAGAAA